CTTGTCGAGGCCGCGGAGGCTAAGGTCAGTAAGGGGGGGAGAGCGAAGGGGTCAGAAACGGGAGGTTGGCGGATGCGTAGGATGCGAGATGGGTAGGGAGGCTACAAATGCTTACCCGTCGATGACTAATTGCAGGAACTCCAGCGACGCATGCAAGACGGAAGCTGCGATATTCTGGACGGGACTGGCTGCCTCACCCTTCTTCCCGACGCCAGCGACGGGCTCACCGGCAAGAAGCGGGTAGTAGTACTTAATCCAAACTACAGGGGAAAATAACGTTAGGCCATCTCGGGCTATCATGAATATTCACCCCAACCCCACCCCTGCGCCATTCTTTATCTAGGCGCCATATCACTACTTACGTTCGAGACCTTTCGGGTTGACGAACTTTTTGGAGTGGTTAATAAAGACAGTCTGGCTTCCGAGGACCCAGAGGAGGGTGTGGCCGACGGCGGGGGTGGTCGCGAAGGTGTTGCGGTAGTCGTGGAAGATGAGCTCCAAGACGGACCGGCCGTCCTTGAAGGGAACGAAGAGGAGGTCGGGGTGCGCGACACCGATAGCCTGGATCACGACCTGAGTCCCGTAGGTGGTAGCGCAAAGGGGACTAATGGTGATAGCTGGGTGCGTGACGAAGACGGGGAACGGTCGTTAGGGCCGGTCTCTCGCATTATGCCGCATTGGATTATATATATCTCCTAATTTCCTCCATATGTACGATCCTCTCCGGCGACCGCGCGACTCATCGCAATAACATACCCTTCTTCTGCCCCTCGACCAGGGACTTGATGAGGCCATAAGCGCCGTTCTGAAGCGATTCCCTCGACAGCGAGTTGATGATATCGGAGGTAGAGCCTTTCAGGGCGTAGGGGAAGAAGCGGTAGGGCATCTCCCACCACCCAGTTCCGCTTTCCTTGACCAGAGAGAAGGATTTGTGAGCAAAAGCGTAGCCCGAAATGCCCTTCTCGGCGATCTCGCCGTCGAGGAACTTTGCAACGGTCTCGAGGATGGCCTCGCTACGCGACGAGTTCGCGACGCGCGCGTCATACAGGAAACGGGTGCCTGTTCGCGCGTCAATCTGGAAGTGCAAATGGGGGAGAGTGTGTGAGTGAGATCAGCTGCGGAGCACAGGATGCTATAAACTAGGGAAGGGAGGGGAAAAATCATGAAGATGTCCCGGTCCCGGAGTTCGGAACACTTACGAAAAACAGGTCCTCAAGCGGCTTGCGGGCGTCTACCTTCTCAGGAACCACCACCCTACGGGAAACGACAGGACCCTTCCCCTTAGTGTTCTTAATAACGGCCGCGGCAGCCTGAGGCACCACCGCGACGGCATCGTGCTGGACGGTCACAGAGCCGGGGACGTCGCCGTCCTCGGGGAGTGCAGCGAAGAAAGAGTTCGAGCCAACCGCTGCGATGAGGTTCGGGGACCTGGGGTAAGTATACACAAAAAATAGACGGGACCAGACGTTTCCCTTCCGGGTTCGGGAGAGTGTCACGCGAAGTTGCGTGAACGCTGTTGCGACATTCTCATTGCGAGATCGCCCCAGAAAACGAAGAGCCAGTCCCGGACCGTCCCGGACCGTGGCACCCGCTCCCGCCTGCGTTCCGTCCCGGGGACCTCGAACAAATGCACCGCGCTCCAGGTCGTGAACGAAAGCTCACCCTTCTTCGAGTCCTTGTCGTTAGCGGCGAGGGCTTGGTCAGTGGCCTTGGTCTTTCCCTTTGCGGGCTCTGCGGGCTTCTTCTTTCCACCAACGGTCTCCCACGAGTTCGACATAGTGAGTCTTGTGAGGAGGGGGAGGAGTTGAATTCGAGCGGCTGAAAACAGACAAGGGAGTTGAGGGGAGCGGAGGGGGGAGGGGGCAGGGCGAGTAATGACGTGGCTGGTGAAGTCGGCTCGCGCGCCGTCGCCCCATCAGCCCACTCCCAGCGGCACTCGCAGATTCAGCCGATTCGGTCCAAATATTCACTGACGCGACATCGCCCAGATCACAATATTCGGGTTATGAAGGCCTGGATTTTGCGACAAGATTGTGCCAGACGTACGAACTGATTCCTTCCAAACGTTCGGCTTTCAGGCTTTCGGTGTTCCAAAGTTGGGCGAAAGACGAACTTCCCAGAAATTCGATATTGCACTTCCCGCGGTTTTGGGCCGCAAAATTTGTGCATTTGAGGCGTCATCTGCAACTGGAATCTGCAGATGAATCCAATAAATCGCCAGGCGATAAAAGATAACGGTGGGTGTCGACAACTAAGTCGACAGAAGGGCAGGACTGGAAGCTGGAGCTGACTGGAGTGCTCACCTCTCACTGCTGTTCGACGCCAACCCCTTGCGATCAGAAAAAGACCCCGGCAGGAATATCCGGGCTCCTGATGAAACACTGCTGCCTAAAGGTGGAGGACGAGGACGGGGGTCTAGGGTTGCTGGAAAATGCCCCCGTGAAACGCCGCTACTGCCACGCTTCCTGTTGCCACCCTTGAACGCCTAACGCCGCCTTGGAGAAGTGCCGGGACCGGGTAGGCTGAGACTCGCCGTAACCTGGCCGCCCCGGGAAAGTCATCGGCCCAGCGTATCCCACCCGTGTGCGACATGTCTGTTGATACGGCAGGTCTGGTCTGCTCGCATTCCATGACTCGCTCGTTTCTGTTTGGCAACCCTCGCCGCTGGGTTGAAAGTAAGTGGTGAGCGGGAGGGGAGGAGAGAGGAGCTGTCCCCGTTAGAAAATACGGATGTCGTCGCTGTTCTCCGTTCTCGCCAGACAATCATCCCTCTTGGAAGATCACCCCGCCCCCTTCCCGGCGGCTCCTGGCGCCTCGGGGCCTGAGCGACGGATAAAAGCTATAACCCTGTCCCAACGATGCATTCCACAGGCGCGTTCGAAAACCATACGCCTGCCGAGGAACAGCTATGACATTGAAGGTGCTACTTACAAAGACCCAAGGCTTTCTGTTCGAGATCGAACCGGAGACCTGCACTGTGTTAGAGTGTTGTGATAAACCAACTACACCACGGAATCTTCCGGAGGCACTTGCGACCTCAATATGATTATCCGGGAAAATGTAATTGTGCAAATTTCCGCAAAACTGCCCAGGCCTAAATTGCCGATCCCATGTGTACGGTGTTCAACGGAAGGAACATACCGTCATTCCGACGTTCCCCGTCGCCAACGACCCACCCGTTGCAGGCATCACCAAATGCCATTCCCACCGCGCACCACCCCGCGCCTGCCGAATCTCTCCCTTCGCATCCTCAACACCCTCATCCCAAGTGCGTGCTCTCGGGTCTGCTCCCAATCCTCCCCAACATCCTCCCCCCCTGGCCCCTTTTACTCCCGTCCCCCCCCCCCCCCCCCTCCACCAAAAAAAA